CTCGAAGTAAGCTCTCATGGAGCTGATCCAGGACTCGACGTCTTCTTTCCCGTCGTACTTAGACGGTATGGGAACCGCCTTCCTGTCCACATAGGGACTGTTGTAGCCGGCACCAGCGATTGCTGTTTCTGAACTAGAGGCTGCAACAGTTGTAGAATTCCTTGCGCCGTCGCTTGCCGTAGCGGCAGCAGCAGAGTCTGCACCTACTACAGTTCTCGATGGAACCACACTTTGAGAAAAAGTAGAGGAATGGAGAGGAGCGAGGACAGTTTGGTTAGCAGCATTGGAGGCAGGAGGTAGAGGGAGAGGATTAGAAATCTGATCCTTTTGCAGATTTGCCATCTGCCGCATTTGATCCTTGTGCTCTTTGGTCACTTCGGCCAGTTCCGCTTGCAGCTCACTTACCTCTACCGAGAGTTTGGTGATCTGTTCAGGGATGTCACTGAGTAGGTTACAATCTATAAGAGCACGCACATATGCGACTATCTCCTTCCTAACCTCAGTGTCAGGCAAGGAGGAGACTATTTTGAGGACAACCTCATGGTCTGCAACAACTGTTTTCCGCTTTTCCTCCTCGACTTTCTCTTCCCTTGCCAGTGCCTTCTCGTAGAGAGTTTGGAACAATGGTTTATCCTCCTCTACGGCTGCATCTAGTTGGGCCTTTAAGGCCACAAAAACCTTTACATCGCCCATTTCCGCAAGTCCCTCAAGATGGGGTTTTTCACTCTCTCTTCTCTCTCTCTCTTCCTTTTGTATGCGGGTCTCGACGGGCATCAAAATATGAACTCAGGAAAAGAAACAGACTGAAAAGTTCAAAGAAGAGAAGGTAGAACTCCTAGCCGGAGTGGCATTACATTTGGACTAGAGAGCAGCAGACAAAAAAAAAGAAAAACAATTTCACAGGAGAGGTCTGATCCAGCGACCCAGTCTGATCAGACTGCATACGAGGTCCTCTCGAGTCCAATCTGACCAGCTCCATGTCCGTTCAGCAAATCATACAACTAGTGACTAAATGCAACAATGGAGAATTGAGTGGTGTATAGGGTGCGAGTCAAGCCACGAACGGTGCGATCAAAAGCGTGCGAAACGTCTCAACCGAGATCCCCTCGGCAGTGGGTGTCCTAACTAACAAGAATAAACTCCGGATCTCAGTCAGGAAGAGCATGAACTAATGTCTAACAAATTCGGGTCCAAGGGCTCTTCTTTTTTGGGCCCGGTCCCACTGGGTCCTCAGGGGTCCCATGTATGTCGTGATTGAGTCCCAACCAAAAGGAGTCGCACTTGGACTTTTTGTTTTGTTTTTTTGGACTAAGTTTCTGCCTCTACCATCTTGAAAACGAATTTCAACTTCCGGTAGAACCTACAGACTACAGCCGTTTAGAGATGAAAAGACAAAGGATTGTAGAAGGAATCGGCATTCAAATCAAGATACTTCGTTTCTCCATCCATCAGGTGAGTAGGTAGTTCACACACATTTCAATCACAGAATCAAGACCACAGAGGAGTAGGAAAAAAACCCGAAATAACCCCAGCAGGACGATCAATACCATGCACACATACATGGACATCCCGTAGGTGCACGACACTTACCTCAGTGGCCTGATCTTCGTGATGAATAGAACTCACCCCCCTCTCATGTGATCCTCCTGACCCCTTTAACGTTACCCCTACACTAGTGTCCTATCTCCTAGAAGGGTCTGACTCCAACACCAAAGTGCAACGCTGGGTCCCCCGTCGATGCTGGAGAACGAAGTAGCAACTTGCAGTCCGTAGATGCTGAATGGCCGCTGACCCTCAAATTCGCCTACTTGAGGGCAGCCCTTAAGTTGCCAAGTGTTTCCCTTGAATCAGATTCCAGGTGCGAGTGCCTCTCACTGTCGCCTCTCTCAAGTTGCCGCATGAAGTCTCCACAAAATGTCTTGCCACCCTAACCTCACTCTCAAGCAACCTGGTTAGGTTCAATGTCGACCCCACATGGCCTAACCAGGTGGGGGCAGCTTCCCTTAGCCACGCTGCCCCACTTCACTTACATCCAACCCTAACCCTAAGTGTTGCCCTCAACCACTTAGGTTAGGGTTAGGGCAGCAAAGTCAACTCTCACCAGCAACTAGAATCCGCTCTGATACCAATGTTATGATCCTGGCCAATTTCGAGATACACATTCATCAGATAGTACAATGTCGTCCAATTGCAGAAAGAAATGAATGAACTTGAGAGGAGAGAGAAGATTAGAAGAAGAAGAAGAAGTAAGAAAGAAGAAGAAGATGATGTACACCAGCATAGACAAATGACAAAGC